GAGGCTGGAACATTTTCAAGAAAAGATTCAAATATTTTATCCCTCTCCAGTGCTGCGCGTAGCAAAAAAAAAAGCAGGACGTACGTAAGTGCCAATCCGCACTCTACCGTGATGTGCAAGCCCCCAGCAGAGCCACCCCTCCTACATGAATCTCTACAGCTGTAGATGTCTCCAATAGCTAGCGATGGACCCAAGCACGATGAAATTCCATACACCACAGCGCTAGAACTCAGCAGTGAAGGACTCAATTCGGCCCAAAAAAAATAGGCAAAAGCAGGAAGACCCCCAAAACGCGGCGGAACCTCTACCGAGCCGACGGCACTTTCCTGTCCCACACGAGAACGCGATGTACACGTTGCCAATTCGCACGAAACTTGGCAGGAATGCTTACTGTTGGATGGAGAGCAAGATGGCAAATCCTTGCACTGACGTGTTCCACGTAGCCGGCGGAGGGGACGGATTTAGTTGAAAAATAGCATCCACGCGCAGGCGTCATGCTTAGGTCTCAAGTCTGTTCACAACAGGATACCTCGCATCTTGGTAGCTGCCTCTTTCGCGGATGTACAGCACTTTCAAGTAGGTTGCATCATGCTGTATAGATCGAGTACGCGTAATCGGTGCGCACCATATGTTGAACTGGAACCCAACTGGCTGTACGATGTTGTTGCACCGCGAAACTGCGGGACAAGCAATAAGAAGAGCCCGTTCCCCTCTCATCTCTCTTTCGCGATCATCATTTTTTTCGACCCCGTTCTGGTTTGAATGAGAGACAAACAAATCACGCTCGATAGTAACTTCGGATCCCGAGGGGAAAATAAACCTGTCCGCTACACTTCTATACGTTGAAAATAACGAAGTACTTTCAAGTTTGTTTGTGGGCATATCGCCGGCAGCGCGCACGCAATTTCTTGAATGAAAGTGTGGTAGGGCGAGGTCCCGGTCTGTTCACGGAGAGCATAACGTACGTATGAACAGGAGGGGGGGTGGAACGAGACTTCCACCGCCGACGAAGTACACGTACGACGCTACCGTAGCAGAAAGGCCATATTTTTTCCAACGCCTACATTTTAATTGGGTCGAGCAGTATCCCACATTATGTACAATCAAGACCGCTTCTCACGTCGACCCAAATGGTAAATACAGCCAAACAAACAGTCAGCGGCGCCAGAACTGACCAAAATGAAAGTCAACCATGCCAAACTGACCCCAGAACGTCACACGCGCTGGAAAGTATGGTCGAAGCAGACAGCAGTCCTTGCCTAAAAAAGTACAGCAGGATCATAAGAAGAGGAGTACACAAAATAGCTGCACACATACACACCGCACTGAGACTGACGTCTTTTCATTGGTCAGCTGGTTAGCGCGGTCGATGCTAATAACCAACACACACACACACACACACAGGTTTGTACACCACAGGAGCCCAGAGCCAAACTATCCCGAATAAAATAAAGGCAAGGATCACAGCAACGAGGGCTAACTGTGGTGGTGCCACGCATCTATCCAGCGCGTTTCCCACCCTTGCCAACACAAGCACACCCTCCCCACACCCCATTCTCCAAGGCCTCCTCCTTCTCCACCATAAGGTGTTTCGCACGGAGGAACCTGTCGGTGTCATTGCCACCGTTTTGTCGCACACAAGCAAAATCAGCAAAAAGGCAAACAGCGGGAAGCGCACGCGGTAAGCATGGGGGTTGGTTAACGTGGACTAAGGTCACCTGGGTGGGATTTAGGTCGGCGTGCGCGCCGTAGAACGCGCTCATACCTTGAAATCGGACCACAAACACGCAATTCCGTGTCTCACTCCCAATTTGTGGTTGAGGAGTTGGTTATTATACAAACGGAATCAGATGCGCACCTCAATACGGCTCTTGACCCCTCAGAACCAGTCAGCTCCCGTCGCCCCCCATGGACCTTAGACTCCCCCCGCATCTCCCCACCCTACATCCGGCCCGCCCTCCGACATGTCTGATCCCCAGTCGCTGAAGGCATCGCTGTAGTCGGACGCATCGGACTCCCACTCTGGGATTTCCGCTTCGTTTTCCTTCTCCTCCTCTTCCGCTTTCTCCTCCTCCCCCCTCTCCTCCTTCGCTTCGGTCCCTGTCGAATCATCCGGCGCGGCGGCCTGCTGACAAGCGGCTGGTTGTTGACTAGCGACTGCCTGCTGACTAGCGGCTGGCTGCTGACTAGCGGCTGGCTGCTGACTAGCGGCTGCCTCCTGACTAGCGGCTGCCTGCTGGCTAGCGGCCCTGTGCGCCAAAAGATCGTGAAGGGCTCCGGCTACGATGGCATATGTTGCAGGAACGGATGGTGTAGAAACAACGGAAGGTGTAGCAGGAACAGTGGACGCAGCAGGAACGCTGGAGGTAGCAGGAGCGATCCGAGCCTCAGTTTCCGACGCTCGAATCAGTTCACAGGTAGCCCTGCACAAGCATGCCAGCGAGCATTTCCTTCCTGCTTTTCGACAGCCGCACCTCACGCAGAGACTCTTCGTACCCGGGGCCGGTTTGCAACCATATTTCTCCGTTTGCGTCTTGTTGTCGGTGCCAACGTAAGAAAACTCAGCCAGCCATAGCACGCAATTTTCCGCTATCATGTGTCCCGGGCTGGTTCCCCCCCTTTCCAGCAATCCCCCATCCCTTGCCGTTGAAGCCTCGTACTGGTACCACCTCTAAACAGCCGTCTTGCCAGTACCCAACCGCCTGATGGCCTCGCTCGCTCTGCTGGCGCATGAACTCGAACGCAGGGCACGTTGAAGTAGCCCTCTTTGACACATGCCTGAGGAAAAGCATCCGGAAGACGTCGACGTAATGTGCGACAAACCCGTTGACAATGCGGAGAATCCAGCCGGGCTCCTGGCCACGAGCAAATACAGCTTCGTGCAACGGTGACCCGACCGCATTCCTGGCGCCCGCATGCCTTCGCGCGCGGCTTCCTCGCTCTCTTGCTTCCGTCACTGTCGGCAACTGCTCGTGGTCCCTTCCCATCTTGAACTCGCCGCCGAGAACGAATTCCCGTGGTGGTGCTCGCGGTTTTTCGACGCTCAGCCTCAGCGATCTCACATTCCTTGCGGGCCTTTGCTACCGCCTTCGCCACCGACTGCTGCTCCTCGTAGTCCAACTCTGCAATCTTTTGATCCAGCTGCGGTTGTAGTAGAGCCAAAGAATGTCTGGCCTTACCCCTCGCCGGGCGCTTCTTCCCTGATCTTCGCTCCGAACCTTTCAACCGCGCGCCAGAATCTTGCGCCCGGCGCTTCGCTCTACTTGCCCGAGGTGTCTGTACTGCCCCCCCAACGTTCTCGCGACGTTGCGTTCCCTCTCTGTAGCCTCTCGCAGCAGCTGGAGAGAATGGGTTCTCCGTCTGCTGGCCAGCGGCCGGATGCCGCGGGGACACGGGTGGTGTATACCCCCCACTGCCGGGGGGAACAGCATAGGGGCGTGCAGCAAACCACGTCTTCTGTCTCGGTTAGCCATGGAGCTGCGTGATTGCACACGATCATGAAACCACCCTGAAAGCGAGGTAGGGTATCGTCACACAAAAAAAACGACATCTAACTAGTGGTCAGTCTCAGTCTACAAGTTTGTAAAGCAGAGGTGCTCTTCTTCGCGGTACAACCTTGAACTGTCGGTGGTAGTTTCCAGATCAACACGTCCAAACCTACAGTGTTTTCCTTCAGACATATGGTCAGCACGAACGGGTACGCCGAATCACACATGTCAAGGAACGTGGCAGTAGCAATTCAGAAGGGATCATATGCTGAACTGGAAGGGTGGACGTCGATTTCATAGCGGCATATGCAACACGCACTAATACTGTGTATTGCATTGTTGGGGCCTGCTTTCTATGTGCGTTACACCCGGCCGCGCACGTGTCTGCGGATGATTAGATACCAACACATCGTAAGGATCCACAGGTGGCATTTTGAGGCTTGACCTCAAAATGGTTGGGGGTCTCTCACCCAAATGAAGTAAAATTCCTTTTGCAATAGGTGGGGCTGTGAGCTGAGTCTGCAAATCTAGTTTAGTTGTGGCGTGCCGGCCTTGTGTTCATGCACCCGCGGCCGTACACACGCATGCTCGTGGGTGCTGGCCACACCCCGTGGGATCCAACAACAAGCTTGAGTTTTGACATCGTCATTCTTCTGTGTCTCTGTACCAAATGAAGTAATAGGTGGGTCTGTGAGCTAGTACATAAAACAATCAAGGTTTGGCTGCATCATGCCAACCTCATGTGAGTGCATCCACCACCGTAACACACGCGTGACTACGGATGCTGCCACCACACCAGGGATCCAACAACAAATTTGAGTTTTGATCTCGTCATGCTTAGGTGTTTCTGTACCAAATGAAGCAATTCTTTTTGCAATAGGTGGGTATGTAAGCTGAGTACATACCACAACACTCACTTGGCTGCATCATGCCAGGGTTATGAAGAGACTGAGGTGCTACTGCTGTTGGGTACGTGATGTCGGTGGCCGTCTTCTGGAGGTACGCTCTGAGTCTATTCCGGATATACACTGCTACGCTACACAACCGGTCCAAAGAGCCTTGCCGACCCCTAGCGTATGAATAACCCAGCGTAGCTTTGTTGGAGATTGGACGCCTACGCTCCTGCTTCGGTCTCTGTCGGCGTTGATGGACGGTGAGCACTGCGCGGGTCTTGTCGCTTGCTTTGCAGGGTTTCCAGGGGGGGGGGGGGGGGGG